TCCATGAAGCACACTGCTTAGAGGAGAGTGTCTTTCTAACCACACAGAAGTCCTGAGCTTCATTATAACTAGATGGACTTGAGTAATGCGCTTAGGGCTGAAGCATCCGGTCACTGTGGCCAGGAGAAGGCCATAGGCTGACTGGGTTTGGCGCTTGAATCAATCACAGTGGCTGAGGGGGAAGTTATGCTGATGGGTTTAGAATAGTGGTTCTCAAAGTGTGTTCCCTGACCAGCAGCATCAGCATCACCTGGGAACCTGTGAGGAACCCACTCCAGACCTGCTGAATCAGAAACTCTGGGGTGGGGCCTAGCAATCTGTGATTTAACAAGCTCTCCAAAGGATTCTGATGGAAGCTCAAGTTTGTGACCCTCTGGTTTACACCAGCAGGCCCTATCCACAGAGCCTGGAGTGGGGTGAACCCATTCATTTCACTGGGCTGTCACACAATCAGAAAATGATGCAGTGGAAGCCTGGGAAGTCACCGTCAAAATACTTGAGAAGGGGACACTTCATTCCACTTCTTACTTCCTATGGTGAGGCTATGGGGGAGAAAACACAGTAATCAGTAATCGAACTAGCAAATTGGTTTGAAGATTACTTCTGCTGCCCATATTTATTAGCTGTCAACATGAACCTCAGCATTTTCTATGGGCCCTAATGCACTCTCCCTGGAGAACACAGACAAATAAATGTATACATATTTGAGAGAAGTAAAGTGACTTGGCAGTTAAAACTGCATTGAAGAAGACATTCTCTAAGCAAGTTTCTTAATCATGGCTAATTAATCCTAAGAATCACATGGAGGAAGGCTACACCTACAGCTTCTTGGGCCCCACACCTGACCTACTGAATCAGGACCTCCAAGGGAGGGACCTAGGGGTCTGCACTTTCCGCAGATATTGCCAGGGATTCTTACAGATTGTGCATGCTTGGAAAACACTGTTCTAAGAGATATATCCAAAGGACTGGGGAGAGAAGTCCCTTGAAGGAATTCGGTGAATATTTCTGACTGTAAATAATACTTTCTTCCTCTCCTTTCTGTATGAATTCCCTCCCTACCAGTGTTTCTAACTGTTCTTCCTCTAGTCTTATTCTACCCTGCTTCCCAAATAAGTCATCCTTCATACCACTTCAAGCCAGAGGGAACTTTCTAAAACACACTGAATGTCAGGCCTCTGATCAAAACGCATCACAATAGCAGTTTCCTCCAACGAAGGCCAGGAAATGTGTTTACAGGGGAGCCCCTAGATTCATGTGTGTTACTGTCAATCCTCTAATCCTTGGAGGTGGTAGTAGGCTCATGGATACTTCTTTTTTATTTGCAAAAGTAAATTAACAAATAAGTAAATAAATAAAGAAAGCCATAACTGGACCAATGATAGCAATGTCAATACAATTCTATTACCTGAGGATATAATTAAATACATTTTAAAAAGGAAAGAAATAGAACATGTTAACAGTACCTCTGGGTACTGAAAGTATGCTTGTTAAAAAATTATTTTATTTCTCTCTGTATTTTATAAATACTCCATAGTGAATTATCTAACTTAATAAAATTACTAAAAATTAAAAAAAAAAATCCATCGCAAGTCCTTGCCCTAGCCTACAGGATGAAATCCAAAGAGTCAGTATGACGTACAAATCGCCACCTAATCCAGTCCTGGCCTTTCTTCCTTAGCCTCACTTCCAACCATTAGCTCACTCGAGCCCCCCCCGCCCTTGAACCATCCTTGAATACTTGATACTCTTTTGCCATTGTTCCCTCTGTTCACCATGGTCTTCCTTCCAGTGTGTCATCAGTGTATTAGTCAGGTTAACGCGAGGTCCTGCTGAGCTAACAAAAGCTCAGCAGATGAAGACAACAAAGGCTTATTTCTCACTCACTATATGTTAAGAGTCACTAAGTTTTTTCTCTAAAGACCCAGATGGTAAATATTTCAGGCTTTGTGAGCAACATACGGTTTCTGTTGCATATTCGTCTTTTTGTGTGTAACCCTTTAAAAAATATGTAAACTCTTAAGTCACAGGCCATACTAAAACAGGCCCCTGGCCATTTGCTGACCTCTACTCTATGTGACCACTACCAGAGACATGTACACAGCAGAGAACTACTCAGTCCAGTCATTCGGAAACCGGGCTAATGCAGCAGCCACCTCTTGAACGTTTCTTGTCATCATGCAGACCAAAGGAGAGGGTCTCATCCAAGTAATTAAATGCTCCAGCCCGGAAGTGGCAACCTGTAACTTCTGCTCAAAAATAATTGGCCAACATTAGTCTTTCAGCCCCACCCAACCATAAAGGAGCTAGGAAGTGCAATCCTACCATGCGTCCACAAGTAAGGAGAATCAGAATTGGTTAGTAAAAATGATGACTCTCTTCAGCTCAAAGACAACTGCTCTGGAAAGCCTTTTCTGATACCCTCATCCCCCAGCCAGATTAGCCACTCTTTCCCTGTAATCTTATAGCAACCCTATATCATCTTGAGCAACCCTTGTGCTGTGCATAGGGTACTGTAATTGCTACTTTTCTGCTTCTATAACCAGATCCAGGGATGTTCAATGTGTGTTGCTTCAACAAACAAACGGATGTGGTGGATTGTGGAAGTGAATGGGATTGCCTATGCATTTCCCTGAAGGCTTCTGAATCCAGCAGTGTCAACCCCTCTGAGACCAGTTAGTTCAGCCACACCAGTCTCCACTCATAATCAACTTATCTTTTTGGTTATTCTGTTACTGTCTATATTAGTCAAATTAATTCCTTCCTATAACCCTTTTCTTCTAATAATCAACACTTTGCAGAGAGCTGGTCCTTGAGGCCACAAAGCACTTTGTTACTATGTGGATTGGTTTTGTCTCCAGTTTACAGGCCAGAAGGCAGGCACAGAGAAGCACAGTGATTTTCCCAAGTTACACAGCCAATCAGAAGTAGAGCCAAAAGTTATGCTTCCTTTTGATTCAGCAAAAAAAGCTACAGGATTGAACATAAAGCCACAGCCAAGTTTGCTAACAGTTTATATCCCATCGAGAGATAGAAAGCATAATACAAGTTTGCCAATGATAAGTCTATTATACCATGTCAGTGTTTATCTTGTAGTATACATTTATCTGAGTAAAATATTAAAAACAAGCCACATGACTGTTTACTAATGTTGTCCCTTTTAATATTAATTCCACTCATCCCATCTACCACCTTTCCTCTGCTGTAAAGTGACACAGCTCATTATCAGGTGGCCTCTCCGAACCTTGAGGACATGGAAGATGCCGTGCAGCTGTTTTATCATCACATCGTAATGCCTCTTAGGTGAACAACACCTACACGCACCTTCACTACCAAATTTCAATTCAGTTTCACATGCAACATGTGTGTGGCTGCTGCAGTTTGTATCACACATGTAATTACAGGGTGGGCAAAACAGCATTCAAAATGAGCTGTTGTGCAAGACTCCACCAATGCACAGAGCTAAGCCCCTTCGTGTTAATCAGACACAATCTGGATATCCTCTGGCCCCACCTAAGTATATCCTGACCTAGAATTTTCCTCTCCTGTCTCCTGGATACAGTAATTCCTAATAAACATCCCACCCCATGGCTAGCCTTGACGAACACCCAGGAGAACCAGGACAAGGAGAACACAGCGAGGCCGTGCCTACCACTTCTCATGTCACTGACAGCATAGCACCAGAGCACGGTCTTACTGAAACCAGCGGAGTTTGTCTTTTAAGATAAAAACAACTTTTAAAATATATATAAACTCTTTAAGAAGGTGAAATAGCGCAGCGTGCCATCTGACTCTTGTTAGATATTTAACGGACCACAGCAGACAATGCACCTCAACCAGGGGAAAGTGTGCAAGGAAAGTGAAATACTCAAAAAGCAAATTACAGGCTCAGGTCTTGCCAGGCACAAAACAACAATCAATCCTTTATATAGGAGTCTTGCTTTTGCTTCCTTTTTTCTATCCTTAAGCCTTGTAGTAAAAGCATATCAAGAAGAATAAACCTGCCAGGTCCCCCTCCCCAAAACAAGAAAAGGTTAAGCTTTTAATTACAGGCCCTCAAACTATCATTTTGTGCAATTAGCAATTAACTATAATCGTTGATGAGAGAATGCAGAGCTGCGCTAGCAATTTCCCTCCTCCTCATCTCAGACTGGGTTATTTTAGTCCCCTTCTATTAGAGAGGACAAGCCACAACCGCGCGCGCGCTCTCTCGCTCTCTCTCGCTCTTAAGCTCTGTCTCTGTCTCTCTCTCTCTCTTACACACACACTCACTCACTTAAAGGCACACTTAATTTTTAGCAAAATGGCATCCCAGCGTGCGATGGAGACAGGCATCCCGAACCCCACATGACAGCAGACCAAACGTTTAGACCCCCTCCTCTTCGTCACTTTCAGCTGGAGAGGGGAGGCCCGAGGAAGACGCTACCTACCAGCCTCACAATACCAGCCTCTCTGGGGCGCAGGGGAGGGTGGTAGAGAGATGTTTGTTGCCCCTGGAAGCGACAAGTCCCCCGGGCTGCAAGCCCCACTAGTGGGAAGGCGGTGGCAAGAGCAGCAATAGTTGCATCAGCGTTAACTGCTGCTGCCGCCGCTGCTGCATTTACTGTTGGCGGCGGCCGGGAGGTACAGTAATGACTGTAGGGAGCGCACAGCTGCTGCGGCGGCAGGTTCCCTGGATCAGGAAATTAGGGCAAACACCGGGGATTGGAGGCGAGGGCGGCGCGCGAGCCAACCAGAGGCCGCCCCGGGCCCCCGTGAGCCCCGGGCGGACGCGCGGAGCAGCGGGGCCCCCGGAGCAGTCCGGGTGGCAGCGGCGGCCACGGCCACGGCCACTCAACACGCGCACGCTCACACTGGCACACACACACACCCGACGCAGACACCTGGCTGCCCCGAGCTTATAAAAGGAGCGCGTGGAGGCGAAAGGAGGGCTGAAGCCGCCGCTCCCCTGCTCCCCGCTGACCACTCCCCCTCCTGCCCCCTCCTCGCTCCTCACCCCGCGCTCCAGCAGCCGCCAGTGTGGGTGCTCCGCGGCCGGCTCCTCTCTCCTCTGTCTTCTCCTCTGCTCTCGGCTCCCCACCCCCTCTCCCTCCCCTCCCCTCCTCTTCCCTCCTCTCCTCTGCAGCGCCTGCATTATTTTCTGCCCGCAGGCTCGGCGTGCACTGCTGCTGCAGCCCGGGGAGGTGGGTGGGTGGGTTGGCTGGTGGGGAGGAGATTGTGCAAGTTGTAGGGGAGGGGGGGAACCTCTTCTTCCCCGCTCCCTTTCCCCCTTCTAACTCCTTCCCCTCCTCCTTCCCCTCCCCCCTCCTCCCTCCCTGCCCCCACCTCCTTCCTCCTTTCCGAAGGGCTGGTAACTTGTTGTGCGGAGCGAGCGGCGGCGGCGGCGGCGGCGGCACCACCACCACCACCATCCAGGCGGGCACCATGGGCACGTCCGCGCGCTGGACGCTCTGGCTGCTGCTCGCGCTGTGCTGGGCGTCCCGGGAGATCGGCGCCACCGGAGCCGGTGAGTGACAACGCGCGCCTCCGCGGGCTGTTCGGACCCAGCCGGGGTACCAGGGGGCCCCGAGGCGCGGGGTTCCTTTTGCCCACCCCCCTCCTAGGAGGCGCCTCTCCGCTCTCCTCGCCTTCTTTCGCTCCCCACCCTGGTGGCGCCTCTGAGCTGACTGTCAGCGCTGCGACTACGGGGAGCCGGGCTTGGGGGACAGCGAGGTTTGGGGTGTCCTAAAGCCTTGCCTGAACTAGTCTTCATTCTCTTACACTCCCTTCCCCAAAGCCACTGCTTTGCCTCGTTTTTCATCCCGCTTGGCAGGGACTAGGGAATGTGGGCTTCTGAGCCATTGAACAATGGTTCTGTCTCGTCTGCCAGGCGGAGTGTTAGGAAGGAGGCAGAGGGCCGGGCCGGGCCGGGCCAAGACGTGCGCGGCAGCCCCGGGCACGCTCCTCGGATTTCAGAGAGGGTGGGAGTGGACGTTGGAAGAGGGTGGGCGCCTCCGGGGACGCGGAGCGCCGGCTGGGGCAGGGAGTCCCCCGCGGCTGTGGGCGGCAGCCGGGAGGCTCCGCGGAGCCGCGAGAAGTGCGCAGCCTGCGCGCCCGGACTGCGACTCGCCGGGCGCCGAGCCGTCATTCTGGAGTGCAGGTTAGAGGGCGAGTGAGGCTTGAAATAAGACTCCCCTCTAGGTGTTTCTCCCCTCTCCTCTTTCCACCCCTCGGGCTGCGTTGGTAAACCTCTCGGGTTTACAACCAAGCTCGTCTTCGTATAGCTGAACGGGGGAGGGGAGTGGAACGAAGACTTTAATCAGGTTAGTTTGCTGATCCTCGTTCCCGGTGAGATTTCCTCGAGAGAAATTGAGTCCTAATCTAGTGACTGTAATTAGTCTTCATTCTAAACAATAGATCAAAAGGAGCAGCGCGAGAGCTGGTGTGTGGCTCTGGCTTGTTGGGAGGCGGTGGTGACTACTGTCCGGTCCCCAGGGTCTGCTGCACTGGGCCTGGGAGCCTTGTCCTCAGCCACTCTCCCGCTTGGGGCCGCACAACTTTCCTGGGCAGGCGACAGGACGCCCTTGTAAGAGGATTCGGTCAGAGTCCTGGCGGGTCCCTGAAGTGATCTTGACATGACACCCAGGGACTTGCTCTCCAGCTCTAGGGAACTGGGGCAGAAAGCGGCCCCCGTCTTAAGTACCTGTTCCTGAGTCCCTAGCTCCTGTTGCCGGCTTAGGAGGCCCGCCCGCCTGCAGTCACGTGTCCCCTGAACTGAGAGCGAACTTTCAAGTGTGTGGTGAAACAGCCTCTCCTGCAACCCTTGGGGGTTTTCAGCCTCCAATGCCCCCTGCCCTTTGGTTCGGACTGTCCCGAGCGTGTGAAGCTGGGACGGGCTTTTCTGCCCTCTGCGATTGGCTGGCAGCCCGATCACGTTTAGGTTGATCACGTGTCTCCACCGACTTGCCACTTAGCAGCCGGTGAAGTGTTATCTTTACTCGAACCTAAAACACCGGACCAGCCTCCGACCGACTGTACTCTCAAATGCCTTTCTCTGCCTGGACGCCTTGAAAAAGGCGTGTGTATCGTGAAGATGGCCTCTGATGTGTAACAAACCTAAGAACCTGGAAAAGCCCTGCCTACAAGTTTTCAGACTGGAACATTAATCGTTAATGGATGAGCAATACTAACTTATTAAACGATTTCTCAGAATAGTACTATGACTTGCATTATACTTTTCATAACATTTCAAAAGACTGAGATACACCAGAAACTACTAACTGGCCAGGAAGGTGGGAGAAAAGATTCATTTTTGCTGCATGTTCTTTTCATATTCTTTTAATTTAACATAACTTTCCATTGGAGGGTAACATTATCCTATAGAATGCTAGGAATGCACCTAAACTGTTGAAATGAGTTAGTTGAAGCCATATGTTCACCTTGCATTAGGTAGGTGAGGATCCCTTTTGCCCCCCTAGGTCACATATGAAATGTGTGACATGCCATGAACAGTGGAAAATAGAAGCCCATGCAAGACTTAAATTCTTCAAAGGAAAGGAGGCACATCCTTCTAAAGTGGAGGGAATTGGGGGTTGGCTGAGGCAATATTGACCCTAAGCCAACTCAGACTGGCTCCTGACTGAGGTTCAAGGCTCCAGGGCACGTGGGCTGACTTTCTGGCCCTGGTCTTCTACACTGGCCCCTTCTCCCCAACCTCCAACCCCTCTCCTGATACACACTCATGATGCTGGTCTAAAATACTCGAGGACAGGACAGGTGTGCTCTAAGACTCTGGCAAGGAACTGAAGTCAGGCTAACAAGAGAAGTTAAAATGCAGTAGTGTAGTAGACCTGATTGCAAAACCCCTGAGAGTTCTAGGACAGTTTCCTCCAGCCTAGGTCATCAAGATTAGGATCTGGGGTACCCTATATTCGTTAAGGCCAGAGCCTAAAGGAACCAAGGTTTTGTGAGAGCTATTCAGATATGGCTAGCAGTTAGCAAAAGAGTAGACAGAAACTTCTCTCATTATGGGGAGTGGGTTGGTCAGGGTGGCAGTACGAATAGACCAGGAGGGGTAGGAGACCAGAAGGTTGGGGGAAAAAACCCAGCTCATCCAGACAGTACTGAGGGAAGGCGTGACGATGGTAATCCTCATCTAAGTCACAGAATGAGCATGTTTGCAAGGTCTCTTTAAAGGAGGGTCACCAAGCAAGACCTCATTGGCAGTGACAGCTTCTTGAGGTCTGGAGCAGCTTTGCTCCCCAAATCCCCCCGTTGGCATTTAGCTATGTGCCCGTCCTGTCATTTTATTTTCTTTGCTTTTATTACTTGAGTTCTCAGATACCTAAAACATGTATAAAGGCCAAGTTCAGTACAGCTGCCAAATGTTAAGACTTCAGTAAAACAAACAGCATATTTTAATTATGGCAGCCTCCGTGCTCAAAAGAAGTGAAGACCTGATGGAAGTGTTTTTGCCTTCTATATAATTGGATAACTATAAACTCAATTTCAGGTGAGGTGAGTTATTTTGTTATAACTCTAGAAGAGGTGAAAAGTAGTTACAAGCCGCCCCCCCCCAGTTCCAGGAGGAGTATCAGACTGGTAAGACTTAACGAGAACTCCTGGAGTAGAACTCCTAGAGTAGAACGTGGCCATGAGATCAACGGAGCAGAGAGCCCCCAGCCATATAGCTTTGGGTTTGATCCAAAGACCAGAAGACTTGGAGCACAGCAGAGAAATAGAGATAACTGATGTTATATTGACCATTTTCTATTTCTCACAGAATGTGAATAGAGTTGTCCTTTGCAGTAGAGAGAACAGGGATCAAGTTTAGACAGTCACCTGTATGACTTCAAGTCATAATTAAATCTACTTTGGACACTGACCTTTTTTTGGAGTGCCACCTTCATATACTAGCCTATAAGAAATCAAATGCCTCAAAGGGCTATGATAAGGTCTGTAATGATGCTTATAATAAATGTACTGCCTTGGGAGAGCTTCTTGTGGGTTAATGCAGCTGCTCTCCAGGTGGTTAGTTGATAGACTCAAAATTGCTTAGTATTTAGTCTCAAGAGAGTACATAGGCCACAGTACAGAGACTACTTTCAAGGTAAAGAGTCCAAGAATACCTTCTGCAGAGGTGATGGAAGAGATGTACTGTTGAGCAAAAGTAAGTGGTCCAAGGACAATTTTTTTGGCCCAGCTAAAGGGTTTTTGGCTAGGAAACCTGAGGACTGATAGCTGTTTGGAGGACTTAAGGGCAGAGTAAACTTAGCACTAGGAGAATCTGCCTTTGTAGGTGAAAATCAACTCAATTTCATTCTGTGCATTTTTCAATCTGAATCGGTGTCTCTTTGCTACGCTCTTCTGTTCGCTTGCCGTAAAAACTTTCAGCATCGCAAATACCACCTAGATGGATACACCAGCCGTGCTGCAGGAACTAAATGAGGTGGCAGGTGATACCTTAAAGTGAGCATGCTTGTCCCTTCATGGGAAGTCTCCTGGGAAAGCCAGGGCCTGCTGGTTATTTGGGGGCTCAAAATTAAGCAAGAGTGTGATGTTAGGTGCTGCAAGAATAACTACAGAGATTCTGCTAAAAATGGCTTAATGTTTGCCTAGAAATCCTTTACCTATTTTGTATCTTAAAGATGCTACATGGGTGGGTGGAGCAGGGAAGGGTATTCATGGCTTTGTATTTAAGAGAGAACTTTGGAGACAGAAACTATAAGATGGGACCACTGGTTGGCGTGGTTGATCTTGCCACCAACATGGGTCGTCTGGGTTGGCCCTGCTGGCTAGTAGCCTTTATGTATCTAGATATGGTGTTGGCAGTGGAGGATGGGGTGGGGCTTGCAATTTGCCAAGCAAGGGAGGTGACAAAACTTTGGTGACAGACAGCATTTGCAAGTTACTTCATGTGTTCTTGTGTTATAACCTAATACTTCCCCTCAATACAACATTTGCAAGTTACTTCATGTGTTATAACTTAATACTTCCCCCAAATACTATGAGTAAATAGGGTTTCTGTTTTATAGCCTGCCTCTAATCTTTAGTTTTCCTAAAAAGCCTCCCCAAGGTCTGAGTTATTAACTCATCTGTAGTTCACTTAAGTAGGTGGTAAATTGGTGTCAACCTTCTTTGTGCATCTGCCTGAAACCCCTTGACCTCCATCTACTGAGTACCTACCGTATGGCACCAGGCATGGGGACACAGTGACCTGGGAGTTGGTCCCTTCCTTCATGGCATTCAGTCTAGTGGGAGAGTCAAACCAGGAAATCAGTGATCCAAAGACAGCCTGGAGTAGACACTCTGGATAGGAGTGAGCGGATCCAGCAGTCAAGACTTAATCATAAAAGAGGCTGAAGGCAGCTGAAGATTGCTGGAGTCCCCACGTGCTACCTGGGTTATAGATTATGAAGTTTCCTGAAAGTCACCAAGAACTTAGACTCTAATGTGACAAAGCCACAAACTATTCCATCGCTGCAGATGATCTTACAAAGATGACATGACTCAAGCAACATCGATTGC